TTTTTTTTTTTTCCTTTAAAAAACTAACTTTTTTTTTTTTTTAAAAAAAAGAATGAGAAATTAACCCCCCCCCCCCCCCCCCCCTAGAAATGATTTCCCACTTAGAATGGGCCTTTTGAGCTGAAAATTTCTGGGATGAGTGATCCTGGAGAGATACGTCTCTGGTAAAAAGTTCAGCCCACCTGGCCGTACTAGACCGGAGTTTCAGCTGATTCATAGGCTATTTTTGACCTTCAGGAGAATCTGGATAACTTTGTCGCAATACGAGGTATATAGTTCGGAATGGTTTCAAATTAAAGCCAATGTCAGTACGCAACTTTTCATCAACCAGAATTTTTAAATTCCATATTGTTCATTTTGTGGAACTCACGTATGTTTTCGAAGAAAATAGTGAGTGTAAGTTTTCAGTTCGAGGTTGGCGGCTCCCCCACCCCATTACAGACACATAGCAACGGAGAAAGAAAACATTACAGACATATCCCCCATTACAGCAACCCCCGGTTACAGACACCCCCCATTACAGACCGACCTCCATTACAGACAGGGAACCATTACAGACGTCAGCAACCGCGCACAAAAGGCTTCAGATTCTGTACAGTATTCTAATGCATTCATAATTATTTGAAAAAAAAGTGTTTTTCAGTTTGTAAATAATGCATTAGAATAACAAACTGGAAGGATATACGTGAGTTACACATTTCAGCTCCAAAGGAGCTGCGCTGACAAGCTTTTTTTATGAATATTTTAGTAAGCATGCCTTAAAAAAAGCATAAAAAACAGTGATCTGACGACAGTAAATTCCACTTTTCTCAGCCCAGGAATCGGTTTTAAAAAAACTGGTTGATGAAAAGTTTCCTCTCATTGAGACCTTTAAAACAAAAAAAAAGATATGTTAAATCTTGAACCATGCATGAGTTATCTCTATTTTTCTGACTGAAAACCATGTTCTGAGAAAAACGAGAAAGAAGTTTTAGAAATGGATTTTTTTCATTTAAATCCAAAAAAATCATATTAAAATGGCATATTTTGAATATATTTCATTGAACTTTTTTAAAGCGCGTAACAGATGCAGTAAGCTAGTGTCATCTGTCATGCCGAAATAGCTCTCCTCTCCTCTTTTTTGGACGACTCACGCATTTTTATACCACAGTACTTAATGGAAAAAAAATTAAAAAACCCGGATTTTTTTGGGCAGAGATAAGTAAGACGCTACAAACGAATTATAATCAGCGTAACTCATGTTCTCTCAGCAATAAGACATTATCACTTCTTGTTTTCTAGATTTTTTAATTATTCTACGCTTATCTTATCTGGAATGCCAGATCTTCCGACTTTGAAAAAGAAAAGAAAGCTCCGGCTGACTAGAAACAGATCCACATCACGAAAAATCGTTAAGAGTTTTACCAAAAAGACACGTCAACTACAAAATGATCTTATTTCTGACAAAGATCGACCAACTGGTAATGAACATTCCAAGTACAAAAAACGTCCATTTGCCGGTCCATCATGCAAA